ACATTAACACAAGCATTACTACGTCGTTCACAGCCATTGAAAAAACAAAAACTTGATCCATTTTGCTTCGTTTCGTAACCAACAAATAAGTTTATTAACAAAACTAACATCGAATCGTTTGATGAAAGTTCAATTAAATACACAAATACAACCGTATGAATCGATGATGGTTACTGATTATGATCATAACCCACTGTCGTTCTGGCAACAGACAAGTCTTTTTGAACTAATCGTGACATGTACAACGCTGAACGTACTAACAAGAAATTGAGCGAATTATTTTCAAATGGAAAAGACGAAGCTGGCCTCGAAGTAGAAATTGATCCTGAATTACCGATATCTGAATACATAAATATACCGAAAAGCATGATTCGAAGCTGGTGTGCTAGAATTTCAACTTCTGAGTGGAATGCAACGTTCGATAAAAATCAGGTACCTGTAGCTGGATATAGAACTTTCAAAGGAGGTGATGACCCTATCACAAATAAGAATTCTCCCGGATGGATAATTGAAGGAATCATTCAATTATTATCTTGTCAGACAAAACTGTTTAGCACTGCTGGATGGTTAACTATTGAAGAAATGCATATGTCATCTCCATCTGTTGATGACATGAGAATATTTTATACTGTTAATATCGGTCACATACGTAATGCTGAATCTGATAGAAAGCACAATTTTGGGTTCATGCAGTTCGTTATTAGTCAGTAATTGCTGGGTTAGTAACTACTAGTAAATCTCGGAAGTGGATTTTAGTTGATATCCCGAACACATTACATGTTGATTCTGACGAATTTGCAGAATACGCTATTGATTATCACTCTAATGCATGGAGCGCTTGTGCTGCACGAGCAACTAGCTGGAGAAAATCTAATCATGCAACAGGTGGAGACATAGTTGCTGATTTCCCTCATAGGTGGCAAAACAAAGAAGGATATTTATCGGATTATCCAGATAAGATATCAAGAGCTCGTAAAGACCGCAGAATGACAAGTGTATTTTACGTTGCAACACATGCTGCGTCAGTGCACGCAATAGTAGCATTAATGACACTCAGCGATGAAGCACATTGGACTGTAATAAATCCACCTTTTGGTATTATGTTAAAATGGGATCTCGACGCATCAGCAGTTTCTCGTATGGTCCCTTAAACTCAGATAGCTGGGACTGCAGTTGTAGTAGATTGCATAGTTATTATTAAAATGATGTTAGACGAAAGTATTGCTCCCATGGTTATCCATTTACCTCGATTAGCTTCTTTAAAGTCAGCCTATGATCAAGTTGTAAATGATGGCATTAGATGCGCTACATATACTAAATGGTTTCTTGATAGCCATCCTGCTGGAATCACAACAGTGCAGCTTGCTCAACTTGAAGCATCATTTGCCGAATTAACTGGAGAATTAGCTGTGATTGCATCTAGATACTATCCTGATTCAACAATAGCACAATCATTGATCAAAACAACTCGACAATACAGCGATAAAAGCCTGAAATTTCATTTTCATTTCGTAATCAACAAAACTAACATCGAATCGTTTGATGAAAGTTGAATTAGACAGACAAATACAAGCGCATGAATCAATGTTGGTTACTGATTATGAGCATACCCACTTTCGTTCTGACATCAACAACAGCATAATTCAACAATATTGTCAAAAACAGCCAAATCTGTAGTTCAATCTGAAGCCAAATCTGAAATTCAAGCATCATTGGCGGAAAGTGAACTCCATTTTTTTCGCCAGCAGCACAAATCATTAGCGAACAAAGAAGTTTATTACATCGAGATTGGGTTGATTCTTTAGTAGTACTTAAAGAAGCTTGTTTAAACACTATGTGCTCGAATTCTAAATCACATCATTGAGTGTTTGGTGTAGAAATGGTTTCTAGTATGGTTTTTGTTAAAATCAGGCAACAGCTTTTCCCATCATTTCTTTACTGGAATTGTACAGTGAAGTGATTTGATAAATATAAGTTGAAGAAAACAATTTTTTCTCCTTCGAACGAAGTGTTTACTCTTTAGCTGTTCGGCTATTAAAGGCAACACACTTCGCGACCGCGCACCGACAGTTATCTCTTTTATTTCTAATGAACTTCGAAGAATAAAGTTTGACGGAGAAATTTAAATTTTACTTTTCCGATGGAATTTTAACGCTAAAAGTATTTTGAAAAAGCCCTCATCCATACTTTCTCGAAGAGGAAGCACTTTGGAGAAGAACTGTGGCTGGAAACGTTGTTCAGCATATCATTTCTCATGGCATAAGGCTGTGCTGGCTCGAAGAACAATTTGAGTGCGAATGCTGATAATCAGAGACTTGCAAAGTGAATGGCTGAAGATAGACTTTTTCACTGTTATTAAAAATCGAACTTCGAAGTTGAGTGGGGCGTATTATTTCACCTTATTGGATGACACTGTGAATGTTTTGCTAATATAAACTAAATTCGACATCGATCACGCGTTGAACGACTGTTATCTTAGTTAAAAAATATAAAATAAATATGAATTGTTAGGATCATGTCTTTGAGTTAATAGAACCAACTGCATTTTTGGAAGATGGTCAGACATAAAAATGAGGAATATTAGGAAGAGCAAATGGGTCTGCGTTCAGAAAGTTGCGATTGAACTCGACTTTGTCTTTAGGGTACCCCTCCCCTCTTTTTTAGATTTCTGTAGAAATGCTGTGAAATAAAAAGTAAAACTCACTCAGGTTTCATACTTTTAGAACTGATTGATAACTCAATGTACCAATTTGTCGTTTTTGTTTCAACTTTCAAACTAGTGCCGTTCGCCAGTTTTCCACAAAACTCGGTTTTCGATTGCGCCACATTACGACCCCCTTAAATTTCATCAGAGGTACACAAGGTCAAAGCACAAAACTAAAATTTTGGAATTGTACTTCAGACCTTTCTTTACCGAGTTATAGGAAAAATACTGAAAAACTTTCAAAAATCAAGTTTTTAAATTTTAGAAGCCCTATAGAAATATGGATAGTTTTCACATAATATATTGATCAACCAACATGAATTTCTTTCAGAACCTAGTATGATACATTACTACTGTAACGAAACAAAAGTACCATGAGAAATCGAATGTTCGAGACTCCTAAAAGTTTTGGAAAAGGTTTCAGGGAGATCTTTTCAGTTTTGTTTTCTCAGCTCTTTTAAGCAAGGATGAAAGTAGTAGGGTGCTGAACGTATCTCAGATGAAAATCAGATAAGTAGAAAACAGATTTCCTGATTTCGACTGCTCATTTTTTGGCTGTATTGTTTGAAGACATACATTGTTGTTTCACAAGTACCACTGATTGTTCACTATATCTTGCGTTACACAACATCAGAGACTGTCGCGTTGGTGGTGTAACGGTTAGCATGGTTGCCTTCCAAGCAGCCGACCCGGGTTCGACTCCCGGCTAACGCACTTTTTATCTTTTTCTCTCCTTTCTTTCATGCTTGTTCATTGTATAAGTCGGCACTCTTTGCTTTATCTCTCTCTTTCTCCACACTATACATATCGTCTACTCTAAACATACATACAAAGGAGAATGTCGTTCGACAAGACATTTTTACTTTTCTCTGGCAACCGAACAAGATAAATGATCAGTCTATTTCGACAGTGAAAACTCTTCTTCAAACACTCTCTGGGGCAGCATAAAAATGGTTCACTATGAAGATGCTGTTGTTTGTTTCCGATACAAAAGTTAAAGGCATGTTTTACCGAACAGTTGTATCTCCCCTCCCGCAGTAATATTTTTCAGACAAATGTAATATAGTTTGTCTTCGGGCTACATTCATGCTATATCAAAAGGGCTTTGGTTATTCTTTGGCTTTTTGGGATGGATGGTAGTACAGTTTCGTACAGTGTCCCAAATCTACTACTGCAGAAAGTCAATGCTAACTGACATTTACTTTATGATAGGCGCTGTCATTTCTTCCCTACAAATTATGTGTTCTTCTCGAAC